GCCTCGAGCTGGTTAACCTCAGCCCGGTACCGGAGAAAACTCTCATGATAAAGTACCGAGCATGCAAAAATATAAAAGAGAAAAGACATGACAGATATCAAAAACTAAGTCTGAGGATAGAAAAATGTAATGACGCCTTACCCGGTTCAGCGCCTATTGCGCTTCGTTGAACAAGCACGACGCATCCACATCGTTCATTTTCGCTTGGTCCTCTTTGGTTACCAGGCACCGGAGGTAGCTAGCTACTCTGACGGGGGCGGAAAGAACCCGGGCATCCTCGGGACGGTGATGATAACTGACCGCTTACGGTCGGGATCATGTTGGGGGCGGGGAACCGGTTGATTAATTTTGGGTTCGAGTTCGGCCCACCGACCTCCGAGGATGAGCTTTTCCTCGGCACCTCTAAATCACCCAACCCGGAGTAGTCTTCCAGAGCGGTTGAGTCCACACCATAAAAAAAAGCAACGAAGGGGATCATCCACACCATGAGCCTCTTCGTTGGATCGCTCCTTTGTTGCTTGGGCTTCATCTAACATGGACTCTGTAAACGAAGGCGACCCCGAAATTTCTATAACACCGGGCGAAGCAGAGTCGGTGTCTCGAGAGGTTTCAGGCCTCACCTCTGCACCAGCCTCCTGAACCTGAGGGGGATTAGCCTCCGTTGTTTCCCCCTCGACTGCCACTCGCTCCTCAGGGATGGATGGCTCGTAGGCCATAAAAAGTTCATCCTCCTCGGGCTCGACCCTGAGCCGGTAAAGCAAGTCCGAGTCAGGCACTCGGGAGCTGGAGCTTTCCTTTTGATTACGGGCCAACCTTCTCTTTGGCTTCTTTTTCTCTGAGTTCAGGGAACTCGAAGCCCTCCTTCTTGTCTTCTGACCTGCTGCGGCCCCGAGCTGCCCCGAAGTAGAAGGATCAATGGCAAATCTTCGCCCCCTACTGAAGGCCTAAGCTCAATAGTCTTAGGCATGCCTGCAAAAAGAAAAGAGAAGGAATGAGAATATAGTGCTGAAAAAAGGAGCCTAGTGCTACTTATTCAGGAAAAGAAATCTTACCATGGGAACGGGCCTCCCAGCGGCTCTTCGAGAGCTCGTGCCACGAGACTCGGCATAAGGCATCTGCGAACAAATGCCCTCGATCCACTCCTTGAGCCGAGGAATTGCATTTGGGACTCGAGCGAGGGTTGTACCACAACAAATATCGGTGAGGAAAAGGGAGATAAAATGTAAAACCGACATCTAAAAAGTACACTTACGCGATACATTCCACTTTGCGGAGAATGGCCTTAATTCGCCAGGTATTAGGTTGGCAGTATGCACCTGGACAAAGCATCCCTTCCAACCCCGATCGGGGTCCTCGTCGATGCTTGAAATGGGGCTTTGCTAGCTCGGTGCACGAGCTTTATTAGCCCCCCTCCCCAGAAGATTCAAGGAATGTACAAGCCGATAAATGATCGATGGTGAACACGCATGAGTTGACCTTGTTCACAAAGTATCGGAGGAGGATTACGATCCTCTACATCTATGGGTGAATCTGACCGACGTATACGTCATACCTCCTACAGAAGTCGAGGATAATTGGGTCCACCAGGCCTAGCGTGAAGGGATACGTGTAGACATTTAAATACCCCTCCACGTGGGTGGTAATGTCATCATCAAGCCCGGGGACTACTATGTCCTTATCCGCCCAACCGCAGTCCTTTCGAACAACAGGAAGGACGGCCTTGGTAATAGGCAGATGTACCTGGACACCGCCTCGCATCGGCTTTGCACCGATGAGGTCTTTTCGACGTTAAAGTCGTCCTCGACCGAACACCTCCCGGGGATGAACATTTTTAAAGGGGCTCAATGCCGATTCATCGGCAGCCGCGCCCGGAGCGAAACTCTCGAGGAAAACCACATCAGGGGCGGTCTCCTCGACCTCGGTGGACGGCTGTGAAAAAGAAGAAGCGACCTTTTGGGAACAGTCTTACAAGTTTTCTCCATTGTTATCTTGAAAGGGCTTGAAGAAGTATGAAGAAAGGTTGAAAAAATAAGGGAAAAAGTTTGCTGAGGAAATTAAGCGTGCTGGTTTAGGTACCTGATAAATAAAGACTCGTAGTTCGTTGAGAAGTCATAAAGAACGAAGGTAAAAATGCTGAGGAATGAAGAAAAGCAATAAGTATCTTAAAGGTTTGAAGGTACAAGCCTTGTCTAAAGTAAAATATGAACGAAGGAAGGGAGTATTTATAGGAGTTCCACGCTGTTTCGCATCCAGGGACGGCCTACCGATGGCTGGCATGCATTGGAAGTCATTATGATGCGACTGATGGGACGTTTCAGATTTTTTGTCATTTCTTCTACGGCGTGTTGAAGAAGGGATCGAAGTGCTCATGTCGTTTCTTATCGTGAACTTACTCTCCGAGAAATGAGACTATCTGTATATGGGTGAAACCGAACCCTTGAGACGTTTCGGTTGCCGATGGTGTAAACGAAGTAAGAGGCATGACGGCAAGGAACCGGGACCGAGACAAGGAGCCCTTCGAGCCGGAGCCCGAGGGAACAACGCCCGCCCTCGTGAATATTGGGGCCATAACCCCGGGATCGGTTCGAATCCCAAAAAGACCTTGGAGAGTATTATCAGGCAATCGAGCACGAGTAATAAAAGCCCCGCGATATCCGTGACCGGCCGGATATCACGGCAGGAATCTCGGCACGTATCGGTAGAATTCGTTGATTGGTTAAATGGAAGATTTTTATCTTTTATGGAATTGTACTTAGAGTATAACTCCCCCACTATATAAAAGGGGGCTCGATTATCCATTAAGGACACTATAACACGCATATAAGGCAATATACTATTATTTTCTCTATTATTCAAAGTTATCACTTTTGTTCATCAGTACTTCGTTACTGTGAGTCTGGAATCGAGGGCAGACACTTCGTGAAGGCTGTTATTGAGCTCGGAACCACCACCCTTAAGCGGTTTGAAAATTTATTCAATCCTTATCTGTTTAATGATCTAACACAATTTATCATTTGTATTGAATTAATTCGCATATTCTTACAATCACTTACAAATTTAATTGTTATCCATTTTTTAGGATAAACAAGAACAATATTATGCAATTTATTAGTAGTACCTTATAGCCTATTTAGCCAAGCTTCTAAATTCAGCTTATTTTGAGAACTGGTGGTGATAAACAGTTTGTGTTTGACTATTTAATTTGAACAAGCAATTAGTGTTTGACCAATCTTTAAAAAAATTCGAATTGTATTTTTCTCAAAAGTTCTTTCGCAGAGAAACTACTTTTTCCTGCTTCTCCAAAACTGCTTCCACTCAAAAATACTCTCTTTTTTTTCTTCTAAAAGTTTGGCCAAACACTTTAACTTGAGGAAAAAAATATTTTTTTTAGCATTGGAGAAGCTTGGCCAAAAATGTTATTAGGTATTCAATAGGTTAGCTTTTTTTCCCCCACTTACCCCATATTGCACCTACTATAAATAATATCAGACAGTGGTATAATTAATTTTAGGATTCCTAATTTCGGAATAAAACTTAAATACAACCCTAGATAATATATTTTTCATATTTTATTCAAATATTATTATTTTTATCCCATCAACCAAACGGTCCCTAATAGAGATTAGCATAGTGTACTTTTTATTTTTATATATATATATATATATAATCTAATCTATCTATCTAATTTGTCTATCTATCTATCTAACTATATTAAAAGCACGAATGCCCTTAACGAAATGTCGTTCGCCTTTTTTACCCTTTAAAAATTGATTTTATATTGGACAAAATTGTAATTTAATTTACTTTCCTAATAGTTAGTACTTTAAAATCTATTCAAATTTTGCTTAATAAATTGTTCCATACTTGAACTATAATTCAATATATTTGAACTAAATATTTTCCTAATATTTAGAACTTGGAAATTAACTAAAATTTCTCATACTAAATCCTTCCTTATTAGAATAAGTAAGAACTAAAAAAATCCTAAGTTATTTACTTTAGCACTCAACCTTGGAAATTTTTTCTCAAAATTAGCTCTATTGTAGTACGTCAGTAATTATTTGAGTGTACAAATTTTGACTTTCCTTTCGTGTAGAGAGTTTTGTTTTAACAATTATAATATTATGCTCAATGATAAGTTAGTTTGTTCATAGATACAAAACGAATTTACTTTTACAAACATTAAGTAGGTTTTTTAACATTGAAATATATCTATACTATATGAAAAACATGAAGTTCCTTAGTGAAATATCGTTCACTTTTTTTACCAATTTGAGATAAAATTGTAGCATAAATATTTTGTCAGAATTCAATATTTCTTTAAATTAAGGGTCAACTAAATGAGTTTAAAAAAAGGGTCAACCAAATAACAATGTGTTTAGACTCTTTATTATGCATTTATTTGAAGAATGGTTAACGTAAATATAAGTAAGACAAAGGAGCATAAAAAGTATAAATCTTAGTTAAAGTATCTTTTGAAGTGCAGTGTGACAATTTTAATATATTTGAAAATTATAACCAAAGTTGATAATGTCGATAGCATAACTTTGATATTTTTATTCATAAAATGAAGATCAATTAATTTATAAAATATAATAATCTTAGTAAAAATAAAGAAAGACATTTTGTGAAAAGTTATGCTGATTTTCTAGGTATACAATAGTATTTTCTACCATTTACTCAAATATTTCGTTTAAAAAATTTATGTAACAAAATAAAAATATATATCCAATAAATACTATAAATAGATATAATTTATTTCAACATCCAAAGCTATTATACTTTTAGATCAACAAATTTTAAAAATACTTTCGAAATGACATTTAACACTTGCACGCAAGCATATATGATTCAGTAGTATTTATATGATTTTTAAAAATTAATATTTGAAACTAGTATATATATCTAAAAAAAATAAAAAAAAAAAGACAAACGAATGAGTAATTTGTAGGGCCCGGTTAATTAACCAACAGGTGAAAGTGGTTTGGCAAAAAGCAAATTCGAGAAGCTTCACTTCTATGCATAAAAGAAGTGTACTTTTTGGGGATTCAGACAAGTAGAAGCAAACAAGTATGAGAAGCTCTCTCCCTCTCTCTCAAAGGTGAATTCTTTCATCTGCCTTACCTCTAACGTGTAAATTGTAATTATAGTTTGTCTGGGTTTGCCACTATACACTGATTTTTTAACTTTCGTGGATTTTCTTCTCTGTTTGTTTTTCTTTTCTTGAACAGTGAGCATGGCGAAGTTATTTGGAGGAAAAGACCCTTTTAATGATCCATTTTTCACTGAGCCATTTGGTGGTTTGTTTGGCTGGAACGACCCATATGATGGACAACAAGGCTCTCGGAAGCAAATCACCATTGAAGAGCTAAATCCTGAAGGTGATGGTGATCACACTCAGGAAAGTTCTGAACCAAGAAAAGACTTGGTTGTTAAAAACAAGAAACCAAGTAAAAAATCCAACGGTTAGTCCTCTTCTTTAACTTAGGGGTCGTTTCGTTGGTTGTATAGCATAATTAATCACAAAATAATGTAATAATATAGTGTTTGGTTGGTGGCACAAGGATATAATATGATAGCCGCATAAGTGATAACTAATGCAGCATTTCGTTGTAATATCCCGCATTAAGTTGAGCGGAAAGTTTTGTAGTATTATCTTATGCGTGATATAATGTGGAACAACAATTTAGTGTTCAATTAGCTTAGCTGATTATTGTTTATGCATATATTCCAACTTTTTTGTAAACATGGAATTTTGTGAATTTTACTTTATAGGGAGCCACAGTTTCAGCTACCGCAGAGTTGCTTATGGTGGTTTAAATGGCATGTACTACACTTGCTCGGAAGGCAGAATGTCTGGCCCTGATGGGGTGAGTAGTATAGTATTGGGATCAGAGCAATTGCTACTCTTGCTTCTTGAGTAATTGTTAGTACATTGTTTAAACAAAATTGCTAGTATGTTTTTTGTTTTCTGCATAGGTGGTTCTAGCAGAGATGAAAGAAGAAGATAAGACGATTGGTGAGTCCCTGCATACCATTTCCAAAGGGATCCACAACAAGGTATTTCTCTTGTAAATAGATGTATGGCTGAGGGGCACAGTTCATTGGTCCTTTTTAACTTTTTAGGTTCTTTCAAATGTAAACCTGTTCCGAGATTGAAATGCTTTCTTTAGGTGTTTGTCAGGTCACTGAAATTTCCTGAGTGCCTTGTTTGTCATCACTCGGGAGTAAATTAAAATTGAGTAAAAGCTTGCATTGTTGTCCTGATTATGTCCGTGAGCTTTGCAGGGCCATTCTGTCATAAAAAAGCATGGTTCCGATGGACGAGAGGACACACTGCAGACTTTGCACAACCTTAATGAAGGTATTTTCATTTCAACAACATGATAAACGCCATGCCTTCTGCATTCCAGTAGATCTAATTAATGGTATTTGATTTACATTTAGATGAGCTTGGCGACTTCGAACAAAATTGGAAAGCTAATGCTGATAAGCATTTGCCTGGATGGGATAAAGGTTTCAGCTTGCTGGAGAATCAAGGTAGATTGCTTGAATATGGCACCTTGAGTCCGTGTCATTTATGACTTGACACGTGAGAATCCAAGAATGATTGAAAGATTATTACTTTTTGCTGTTTCGGTCCAGTTAACATGTTTTTCAAGTTAACCTAATTGTTCAGCATTTCACCAGATAAGAGTGCTGAACGATGTTGCAGCCAATGGACTATCTAGTTAGCTATAATCATATTTCTGTGCATAGGCAGTTCATATTCTATGCACAGTTCAGCAGAAACTAATAAACTTCTTCGAAGAAGGTGAGGTAGGGCCGGTTTAGGATGACCTTTTAGAGAATGCACAGTACAAAAATTGGTACTCTGGTTAAGACCATATGAATTCTTTGTGTCCTAGCAAATACAGGCAGATCTGTTTGTTTAATAGATCACTGCTTATGAAGCATAAGATAACAAATAGGTGAAAGGAAATGAGTCCCCAAATCAGTTTGATTGATCGAACTACTTTTAAGCTCTGATTGGGTAAATTGACACAATGTACTTACCATAAACGATTGATTAAACACAGCTTAGGAGCAGAAGAAGACAAATGGGTGAAAGGATATGAGTCCTCGAGCGCCTTAGCTATATTGGCTGATCCATAGTCCATATATTGGACTCTGATAGGGTAAAATGACAGCATTTTGTTAACTGTAATAGATCAAAGTCACTTGAGATCAGTGCTTAACACAAATATCTCTAGCACAAAAGCCGACACATACCTATGGTTAAAGCTTTGCATTTTCATGTCTAAAACAGCTCCATCAATGGCCAGAGTGTTTATAACATATGAAGATTGCTGCATCTTAGCGTATTCTTGTCAGGGACTATGTTATATTTGATTGCGTTATTGTACATCCAAATTAAGTCTCAAGAAGCAGAAATAAGGCTGACGTGCTTGTCACCTTCCATGATGCTTCCGAATACTGTTGATGCATATAAAATAAATAACAACTCAGTAAGCTTTGCTTGCATTGGTTCTCTGCTTTATTTCCCATTGACTCTAGTTTCAATGATGAAATTAAGAAGCTCTCTACCAAAGAGATAATCCAATGAAGGAGTGTGGTTGATGTCACGTACTTGCTTATTCAAGTGTGGTGTCTGTGAAAACACTGAATTGCATAGGTCTGCAATGAGGACTCCGGTGAATTAAACGAGATCTTGACTAGTAATTGCTGAAGTGGTGTGAGAATATAAGCTCTCCGCTCTTGCAGTCTTGCATGCGCTTCTTGAACCAAGTTTTGAATCAAATGAATTCATTGATCCAGTGACTAACAGGGTGCACAGAAATCTTTGCAATCTGTGCACCCGAGAAAGTATCCTAAGATTATGACGTGTGTTAAACCACCTTTCGATGAGGCTTTTTTCCTTCTTGAATCCCTTTTGGATGTTTCAGATAAGAAACATTAAATCAACTATAAGAGTTGAAGATTAATGATTAGTCTAAACTTTCTCTGCATGAACGAACCTATCAAAACAAAAAGTGTATACTTTACTGAGAACAGAACTATCTAGCCACTAAAGTTCAGTGCAAGAAGACCATATTTAACATAAAGGAAATGTTATATAGCTGGGCCGGTTTCCGTAGAAGAAGAAAACAAAAGGCGTGGAAGTTCGCCCCGTTAGCTCTCATGTGGATAGTTTGGGGGGAGAGAAATAGGAGAGCTTTTGATGGGATTGAGTCTCCTTTTTCACATTTTAAGAATAGTCTTTTATCTTTGATCGCTTTTTGGTGCACTCATATAGCCCCTACTTGTATAGAAGACTGGGCGTCTTTTGTAGAGAACCATGTTCTGATGTAAATTCTCTACTTTTTGGTATACTTCCTGTATACGGGAGTTCTCTCCCTTTTGATTAATACAATTTACCTTATCAAAAAAAAAATATTTAACATGAAAGTTCCAAATCAAAATCAAGATCGTTACTTTGTGATTGAACTAAGAATTCTATAGTCATGAAGTTATACCATTTGCTAAGACTTGTAGATCTTAAATGCAGTTAAGATAATTATATAACTCCCATGTTTGCTGTAGTCTTAGGATTTGAACATGGACATTTTGTTTTACTTCTGGGCATCCTGTAAAGAGTATTATGCTTGTGCTGTATGGTTTTCGTCCCAGAAGTCAGGAATATATGTTATAATATAATGTACTCTACAAAGTCGACACAAGAAGGCTACTGTTTATGGAGGACAAAAATGTCTTCTGCAAACCAGTGTCAACTTTGCACTGATATGTTGCACAAGTAGTTTTGACAGTTATTCAACATGTGTAGGATCCATTAGCAGCTTGTGGGATGAGTTTGCAAATTGGAGGGGTTTGGGTGGTTGGTCACTTCCAGCTCTGGAGTACTATGGAAATGCAGGACCGGTGGAACAAACCGGTGTATCAGGGGAAGATTCTTCTAGGAGAGCCAGAAGAAGAGTCCCAGTGGAATAGATGAGGCGAGGCTTCTCCGAAGGAAGAAATTGATGGTACCTCATATAATATCCTATCAGTGTAATTACATGTTTTAATTTTTCCTGTTGTTGCAGCTTAGTAGTATCTCTTGTCATCTCGTGTTGAGCATGTACCTGTGTGCTTTGGGTTAAAGACTAAATTTTGTTAGAACTCAACAGACTCTTTCCAGTGAGCATCTGTCTGTATGAGATTGTGTATCAAAGTCAAGCTTCTATTGACGTTTGAGTTTGATTTTGGGTTTGGTTTTTAGTAAACAATTATACCTTTCTCAGTAAGGTGCTTTTGGAAAACAAGTAGTGTTGCTTTAGGTGTTTGCGTTTGGGGTGGGAATAAACACATTAAACATCTCTATTAGCTCCTGAAATACGTTTCTGTTTGTTAATCACTTCAAGAAACAAAGTGGTAGAAGTAATGAACTATTACTTGCTTTATTTACATGGTGGACTCTTAGCATTAATTACTTGAGACAATGTCAAACACCAGCCGTGTTTTAAAAAAGGCAATGAACAACTCCCACATCGATGTTGAAGAATAATATTCACGGATTTATAAGAACTTATGAGATAACAATGCATGCCGAGCTCAGTAACGTGGGCTTGTAACTCAAGTGGGGGCATCAATGTGGTGGAATGTTGGGCTCTTCCAGAAGGTTGGTCTTGGTGGTCTCTATGCTGGCCTGCCCTATCCAAGCACAGAGCTGGGTCACGTGGCCCAAACGAAGGTAACGAAGGTATGGGCCACTTGACTCCTAAAGTGGGGTGGACTGCGTGAGGCTGGTTTCACAGAGCAACGAATAGCTCCCGCTTTGTGCAGTGGAAGGATAATGGGCCGGTGCTTTCCAAGTCCAGCAACGCCTGATGGGTTGCTCCAATTAAACCTCCATTTTTTGCCCATCTGGTTTAAATGGGACTTGGCCCAGTGTAATTACTTTTTCGCCAAAAACANGGTAAAAAATTCCGCTACGGGGCGCTCTATTTGGTGCCCCCATTTAACCGTATACCCATTTTTTTTTTTTAAAACGTTTAAACTTGTACCCACTTTTTAAAACTAATTTCAGNTTATATTTTTCTACCATTTACTCAAATATTTCGTTTAAAAAATTTATGTAACAAAATAAAAATATATATCCAATAAATACTATAAATAGATATAATTTAATTCAACATCCAAAGCTATTATACTTTTAGATCAACAAATTTTAAAAATACTTTCGAAATGACATTTAACACTTGCACGCAAGCATATATGATTCAGTAGTATTTATATGATTTTTAAAAATTAATATTTATTAAAATGGGTTACACGTCACAAAGCGCGAACCCTGAAACTAGTGTATATATCTAAAAAAAAAAAAAAAAAAAGACAAACGAATGAGTAATTTGTAGGGCCCGGTTAATTAACCAACAGGTGAAAGTGGTTTGGCAAAAAGCAAATTCGAGAAGCTTCACTTCTATGCATAAAAGAAGTGTACTTTTTGGGGATTCAGACAAGTAGAAGCAAACAAGTATGAGAAGCTCTCTCCCTCTCTCTCAAAGGTGAATTCTTTCATCTGCCTTACCTCTAACGTGTAAATTGTAATTATAGTTTGTCTGGGTTTGCCACTATACGCTGATTTTTTAACTTTCGTGGATTTTCTTCTCTGTTTGTTTTTCTTTTCTTGAACAGTGAGCATGGCGAAGTTATTTGGAGGAAAAGACCCTTTTAATGATCCATTTTTCACTGAGCCATTTGGTGGTTTGTTTGGCTGGAACGACCCATATGATGGACAACAAGGCTCTCGGAAGCAAATCACCATTGAAGAGCTAAATCCTGAAGGTGATGGTGATCACACTCAGGAAAGTTCTGAACCAAGAAAAGACTTGGTTGTTAAAAACAAGAAACCAAGTAAAAAATCCAACGGTTAGTCCTCTTCTTTAACTTAGGGGTCGTTTCGTTGGTTGTATAGCATAATTAATCACAAAATAATGTAATAATATAGTGTTTGGTTGGTGGCACAAGGATATAATATGATAGCCGCATAAGTGATAACTAATGCAGCATTTCGTTGTAATATCCCGCATTAAGTTGAGCGGAAAGTTTTGTAGTATTATCTTATGCGTGATATAATGTGGAACAACAATTTAGTGTTCAATTAGCTTAGCTGATTATTGTTTATGCATATATTCCAACTTTTTTGTAAACATGGAATTTTGTGAATTTTACTTTATAGGGAGCCACAGTTTCAGCTACCGCAGAGTTGCTTATGGTGGTTTAAATGGCATGTACTACACTTGCTCGGAAGGCAGAATGTCTGGCCCTGATGGGGTGAGTAGTATAGTATTGGGATCAGAGCAATTGCTACTCTTGCTTCTTGAGTAATTGTTAGTACATTGTTTAAACAAAATTGCTAGTATGTTTTTTGTTTTCTGCATAGGTGGTTCTAGCAGAGATGAAAGAAGAAGATAAGACGATTGGTGAGTCCCTGCATACCATTTCCAAAGGGATCCACAACAAGGTATTTCTCTTGTAAATAGATGTATGGCTGAGGGGCACAGTTCATTGGTCCTTTTTAACTTTTTAGGTTCTTTCAAATGTAAACCTGTTCCGAGATTGAAATGCTTTCTTTAGGTGTTTGTCAGGTCACTGAAATTTCCTGAGTGCCTTGTTTGTCATCACTCGGGAGTAAATTAAAATTGAGTAAAAGCTTGCATTGTTGTCCTGATTATGTCCGTGAGCTTTGCAGGGCCATTCTGTCACAAAAAAGCATGGTTCCGATGGACGAGAGGACACACTGCAGACTTTGCACAACCTTAATGAAGGTATTTTCATTTCAACAACATGATAAACGCCATGCCTTCTGCATTCCAGTAGATCTAATTAATGGTATTTGATTTACATTTAGATGAGCTTGGCGACTTCGAACAAAATTGGAAAGCTAATGCTGATAAGCATTTGCCTGGATGGGATAAAGGTTTCAGCTTGCTGGAGAATCAAGGTAGATTGCTTGAATATGGCACCTTGAGTCCGCGTCATTTATGACTTGACACGTGAGAATGCAAGAATGATTGAAAGATTATTACTTTTTGCTGTTTCGGTCCAGTTAACATGTTTTTCAAGTTAACCTAATTGTTCAGCATTTCACCAGATAAGAGTGCTGAACGATGTTGCAGCCAATGGACTATCTAGTTAGCTATAATCATATTTCTGTGCATAGGCAGTTCATATTCTATGCACAGTTCAGCAGAAACTAATAAACTTCTTCGAAGAAGGTGAGGTAGGGCCGGTTTAGGATGACCTTTTAGAGAATGCACAGTACAAAAATTGGTACTCTGGTTAAGACCATATGAATTCTTTGTGTCCTAGCAAATACAGGCAGATCTGTTTGTTTAATAGATCACTGCTTATGAAGCATAAGATAACAAATAGGTGAAAGGAAATGAGTCCCCAAATCAGTTTGATTGATCGAACTACTTTTAAGCTCTGATTGGGTAAATTGACACAATGTACTTACCATAAACGATTGATTAAACACAGCTTAGGAGCAGAAGAAGACAAATGGGTGAAAGGATATGAGTCCTCGAGCGGCTTAGCTATATTGGCTGATCCATAGTCCATATATTGGACTCTGATAGGGTAAAATGACAGCATTTTGTTAACTGTAATAGATCAAAGTCACTTGAGATCAGTGCTTAACACAAATATCTCTAGCACAAAAGCCGACACATACCTATGGTTAAAGCTTTGCATTTTCATGTCTAAAACAGCTCCATCAATGGCCAGAGTGTTTATAACATATGAAGATTGCTGCATCTTAGCGTATTCTTGTCAGGGACTATGTTATATTTGATTGCGTTATTGTACATCCAAATTAAGTATCAAGAAGCAGAAATAAGGCTGACGTGCTTGTCACCTTCCATGATGCTTCCGAATACTGTTGATGCATATAAAATAAATTAACAACTCAGTAAGCTTTGCTTGCATTGGTTCTCTGCTTTATTTCCCATTGACTCTAGTTTCAATGATGAAGTTAAGAAGCTCTCTACCAAAGAGATAATCCAATGAAGGAGTGTGGTTGATGTCACGTACTTGCTTATTCAAGTGTGGTGTCTGTGAAAACACTGAATTGCATAGGTCTGCAATGAGGACTCCGGTGAATTAAACGAGATCTTGACTAGTAATTGCTGAAGTGGTGTGAGAATATAAGCTCTCCGCTCTTGCAGTCTTGCATGCGCTTCTTGAACCAAGTTTTGAATCAAATGAATTCATTGATCCAGTGACTAACAGGGTGCACAGAAATCTTTGCAATCTGTGCACCCGAGAAAGTATCCTAAGATTATGACGTGTGTTAAACCACCTTTCGATGAGGCTTTTTTCCTTATTGAATCCCTTTTGGATGTTTCAGATAAGAAACATTAAATCAACTATAAGAGTTGAAGATTAATGATTAGTCTAAACTTTCTCTGCATGAACGAACCTATCAAAACAAAAAGTGTATACTTTACTGAGAACAGAACTATCTAGCCACTAAAGTTCAGTGCAAGAAGACCATATTTAACATAAAGGAAATGTTATATAGCTGGGCCGGTTTCCGTAGAAGAAGAAAACAAAAGGCGTGGAAGTTCGCCCCGTTAGCTCTCATGTGGATAGTTTGGGGGGAGAGAAATAGGAGAGCTTTTGATGGGATTGAGTCTCCTTTTTCACATTTTAAGAATACTCTTTTATCTTTGATCGCTTTTTGGTGCACTCATATAGCCCCTACTTGTATAGAAGACTGGGCGTCTTTTGTAGAGAACCATGTTCTGATGTAAATTCTCTACTTTTTGTTATACTTCCTGTATACGGGAGTTCTCTCCCTTTTGATTAACCTTATCAAAAAAAAAAGACCATATTTAACATGAAAGTTCCAAATCAAAATCAAGATCGTTACTTTGTGATTGAACTAAGAATTCTATAGTCATGAAGTTATACCATTTGCTAAGACTTGTAGATCTTAAATGCAGTTAAGATAATTATATAACTCCCATGTTTGCTGTAGTCATAGGATTTGAACATGGACATTTTGTTTTACTTCTGGGCATCCTGTAAAGAGTATTATGCTTGTGCTGTATGGTTTTCGTCCCAGAAGTCAGGAATATATGTTATAATATAATGTACTCTACAAAGTCGACACAAGAAGGCTACTGTTTATGGAGGACAAAAATGTCTTCTGCAAACCAGTGTCAACTTTGCACTGATATGTTGCACAAGTAGTTTTGACAGTTATTCAACATGTGTAGGATCC